GTTAAGCTGTCTGACAGAAACATTTAGTAGACTGCAGCAGCCCTCGACGGTGCCTTAAAGATTTCTCCAGCTGACTAAAGAGGTACAAAATACAGTAGAGCATTTTATTACTGGATTTTTTTCCTCTTTGGTCAGGTCTTGGATAACCTACTCAGCTATACGGCACAATTTTAAAAGCTGAATGAGAGTCCTTTGGTGGGGTTGTGAATATATACAGGACTCCGGGCAGTGTGCCAGAAGATGATGAGATTTTCTTTGCCAATAGCATATTTTTCCCTGACTGCTATTATAGTAAAAACTAACAAAAACACTATTTGAGAAGGTAGTACAAGAAAATCCATAAAGTATTTTAAGGAAAAGATTTGAAAGCAATTTTACTCTTTTGTGTCCTTTTGATGCAAATATTTCCAAAAGGTTTTATCAGTCTGTGCCTTTCAGAAACAAACAGGTAAAAGGACTGACCACTGTGTGATAAACTGCAGAGACACGTAGAGAAAGATGCTTTAAAAATAAAATTTTGGAACTTTTTTCAAAATACCATCAACAACAGACCTAGATTTGAAAGAAATCTCTGTACACGTGACACAAAACCATAGAGAAAATAAAACTTTGTAAACTCTGGATGACTGGTTGATGCCTCTGATGTTTGTTGTAACACCTCTCGTCAGTGATCAGTGGATCTACACATGTTAAAACCTTTCCAAGATAAAAATATTTCTGAACCAAATCCAGAAAAACTCCCACCTTCTGTGAGCTCATTAAAGTGGCCTGAGGCATCTTTCTTTAGAAGCCAGCATCTGTGATGGTTTAGAGGATACGCCATGGGTAACGTGCATATCTAAGAAGTCTCCATTAATACTAGCTAATATGTCCGAGTTTTTGAGCACCACATGCTGTCATCCTACTTTTTCTGGGGAGGCTATGGTTGTTTTGGCAAGACAGAGTTAAACCAAATTCTGAAGAATCTTCTTCTCTGCTTGGCTTCTCCCTCTTTTGGAGAGTCCATTTTTGGATTTGTGCCACATCTATGATTTGCCACTTTTAAACCAGAGGTCTTCTAATGAAAGCGCCTCTGACTGGAGTTAATAAAATCAAATAAACAGATAAAAGTGAAGGCCACGAGCTTGTAGTTCTCTGTGTTTGGGCGTGAGGATCAGAGATGTTCTCTCACGCAGAGCTGATTCCCATTGAGCATGGCATGATGGCTCTGTAAATTAAATCAGTTGCATTCCTTAACTGGCCATTTTAGTCATTCAGTGAGAGAATACCAAAATAAAATCCCAGTAATGGCTCCTCTTTAAAACCGTCTCGATTGCCATCCATTTAGTCAGAGGAAAAAAATGTCATAATTTCAATGCTATCAACTGAAGGAAACGAGCATAGAATGCATTTGAAACCAGGAACCAATTAAATGCCCACAATTGAATGAATGCATTTCATATTTCTAAACTTCACAGCAACAAATTACTATTGATGCTCAAAAGAGGGAGAAAAAAAAGCTCAATTTGTTGCTGCCATTTAGCTGATTGCAAGCAAAGATTGTCTACATCAAGAGGATCCCGATTTGGCAGCCACTGATCATTGGCCATCTCTGCCACACCGCAAGCTCCCAACAGAGACTTCAATGCCCCCCTCTACCACCACCTCCCTCCGGTGAGCATGTAACAGCAAGCCTGGCTGCTCTGTGTGAAGCTTAGTTGGGGATGTACACACCATGAGACAAACTGCTGTTGCTGCCTGGCACGATAGAGAGCCAAGAGCTCGTCAGCCTCACCATCGCCTCCACGTCAGTCCCCAAAACCGTCTCACCCTGCTGCTTTTATCCACATATTAGCATGAATGCTCA